TTTACTGTACTAGAACATGGGCCTGCAGTTGGCAATAGTTGCCCTTCGTGCTCCGATCCTGTGTCTTCGGGCCCAGCACAGTCTCTGACGCGCAGTGTCAGACACACACACACACACACACACACACACACACTCCCATCAACACTCTGAGTCAGTGAATTATAGAAAAGTACACTGTTGAGTTAGAGGGAAGGAACCCAATCTCCCTTCATTATCTACCTTTTATATTGAGCTTTATAAAATTTTATATATTGCATTTTCACTTCACTGCTTTTACATACAAAAGGTTTTTGTTTTGTTTTGTTTTGTTTTTTTTACTTAAGACAGACATGAAATGTCAGTTTTCTAAAGAAATACAACTTCTATCTCATACGTAATTTATCCAAAGATTGTTACTATTTAGAACAGGTCACCCACCTTCATGTCACACTTTCATGAGAAAGTGTGTGCACAGTCAAACGTACCATACTTCTACAGATGGGGCACAAATGGTATTACAGAAGGAAGAATATAACATCAGCTGTCCCCAAAAAATTCAACTAGGAGGGAAAAAGATGCCAGAAAAGGAGTCTAAGATATCTGCTATTTAGCCTGAATGTTAACACTATCTACACAGGAAAGCATTTGTTAATGTATAATTAAGCCCTAGAAGCTTCTCTGGAAAAGAAAACTGCATACACCTCTCTTACATAGTCTTCAAAGAGGCAACAATGGCTTTAAGACCAGAATAGGAATAAGAAACTTCAGTCTCTGGGACTGTTTTGTTTATGTGCCAACAGGGGAAATATGCATCCCCTTTTTAAAACCCAGAGACATACAAAGAGATTTAAACATACAGGTCAAAGTATCTTTAGCTGCAATATCTAAGAAGATCGCAAGATATTCTTTCTCCTTATGAGCCAGTGGGGCCCCCTCTCTCTGTGCCTCGTTTCTGGATGTGATAAAATCCCAGAAGAAGTGGGAGGAGTATTTGGAGATCCCCACACCAGGGTGGATCCCTTCAGGAGACCCCAAACAGGACCCAGTTAGGACGGGGCTTCTCGGCTACAGCACCAGATATTTTGAATCAGATAATTCTCTGTGGTGGGGGCTGTCCTGGGTGCTGTCCTAGGCATCCTCCCGTGTAACATCCCAGGCTTCTACCCACTAGATGTCAGTGGCAGCCCCACACCCAGTTATGGAACCAGAAAGGGGAGGCAAGGGGAAGGGGGGAGGAGAAGAGGTTATACTAAGGCCAAAAGGGGATGGAGGGAGCCACACGGGGCAGATAAGTACTCCTGGGACTCAGCTTGGAAAGAGGGCCCTGAAGAGCGGTCAATGTCCCATCCAAGACAAAAGGTCACCTCCCAAAACTTCACTTCACAGCAAGACTGGAGAAGGAAGAAAAGATCGTCTAGATAGAACACATTAGCATTCATATGCTTTATTTGCTCCTTCCAATAGTCCTAAACTGACCCTTACATCTCTTTCATCTTAAAAAAAAAAAAAAAATCTTCGGTCAATTACTTCAGCGCCATCTCCTTTCCCCACTGTTCCACCCCCTAGTTTTATCAGGCATAAAACTAGCAACTGGGACACTCCGCAGAAGAGAGACAAAGGTCAGCCATGGAGAAATCTGGGGATTCCCGAACAGGAAGTCTCTCCTCTGTAGGAATAAGAAGTCTCTTCAATTCTGCTCTGATTTTTATTTTGCACACCATAGATGTTTGCTATTTAAGACCGCTGTAATAATGAAAAACTTTTAAGCAGTCACCACTTCCCTAAAAAGATGTGGGAATGACACAGTAGAAATCAAAAAAAGTAAAACATAATGAAAAGAAGAACTAAGAGCTAAGGAATTTCAGTTTGATTTTTCAGTCTTTTTAGAGTTTCAAATATGACAGCATTAAACTAAAATGTCAGATTTCTTTCATTGCTTGTATTTCCTGAAGTCACTAGAAATATCCAAAGGTGCCACAAGCCAGGTCTGCATCTTCCTGTGCATTAGAAAATTCTTAAGAGGAAGAGAGTCGATTCAAATAACATTTGGGAAATTATCCTTATAGGTGTTCACAGAGTGGAAGAGAAAATGCAACAAAAGACACCAGCTGTGAGACTTCCCTGGTGCTGACTAGCAGCCATAAAATGGAATGGAATGTGTGGGTCTCAGTGGCACATAAGGAATCACCAAACCACCCCCACAGTAAAACCCTTGACCAAGGGAGAAGTTAGGCCTTGAATGATTAACCTGTTCTACAATATCCATTAGCAGAGAGGGTGAGATGTTGTGGTCTAACACACACACACACACACACACACACACACACACACACACACAGGCTTGAGAATTAAGAGACAAGCGCTAGTCCAAGTTTAGACTAACTAAACTTTGTGATTTGGGGACATCGCACGTTTTTCCCAGCCTCAGTGTTCACACCTGTAAGATGAATGGGAGTGTGAACTAGTCCATACCAGTTTCACTCGCTCATTTATTCAAAAAATACTTGTTGAGGCATAAATGTCAAGCATGATTTCAGGTGCTTGCGGAAACAGCAGTGAACAACAAAGACAAACTAACATCCCTTAACGGAGGTTATATTCCAGATTCCGAAACTTGCTATAAATCAGTGCTTTCAGACTATGGGCTGTGAAATCCATTTATCAGTACCAGATGAGCATTTTAAAAAGAAGAAATGTAATAGAATGATATAAAATAGCTGAGAATATCACATATAGTAAGGATAAGTCTAGTTCATAACATTTTGTTTCAGTTACTGATGGATATTTGTGTTTGTGAGAATTGTGGGTCAGTGGTATCAGGCATTTCTGAATATGGGTTGGTCGTGCCCAAAGAGTTTAAAGGCCCCTGATAAAAGGCCTCCTTTTGCTACAGCCTCTGGCCCTCATCCTAACCTTCACTACGATTGCTTCTTAGGAACATCCTGCCTGTACATTAAATCTCATTACTTTCTCATTTGCCCCATGATGGCATTTTGGATACATACCAAAGAATACATTCCTTTCAGATCAGCACTGCCAACCTTTCTGATAGCATGCCTTTTCACATCAGTCCTTGTTGTCTGCATTACTTGCCTGCTGATCAAGAAAATACATAGCGGCCAAAAGCCACATGAACTATTAATGGATTCAAAATGTATTGGTCCTAAGAGTGCCTACATAGAAATAAGAGTACAAACACATGGAAGACATATTATTCATTCCATCTACGCACCATCAGTCCCAAGAACAGAGACTGGTAATCACTCTTCCGGGTCCCCCTTTTTATTTTGCTATTTTATAATCACCCCATTCTTACCAGATGACTGCTTAGGGTGGTTCTGTTTGTTGTTGTTTGAATGCTCACTCCCCCTCCTTTCTTTCAATTAATACAAACCACTAAATCTATGCACTCATGGGTACGTGAGTTTGTTTTAAATTGTTGTTATTCATTTGATTTATAATTTTTTTTTTACATTCCACAACTCTAGGGACCTCCAGACAGCCACTAAGAATTATGAACGTAATTTTTTGAAATTTGCCTAGAGGTACACCCAACCCTACAACCGTGTCTTGGTTTTGACAGAAGACATCCAAAGGCAGCCATCATGGTAACTAGGAACGTGAAAGGAGGTGAAAGAAATAAAGACACAAAGAGGAGTAGATGAGAACTAAAAGAAACGAGCAACATCACTCTTCCTAGCAATCTCGAACTCTTGCAACTGATTGCCAACGTCTACCTGAAGTACCCCAACTGCAGCCTCGGCTTCTAGAAGGGTTTCATGGCCCCTTGTCACTTAGGCTTTACTGTGCTACCGAGTTCTAACATCCCCACTCCGTGTGCTGCCCTTATACATAAGTTAGAAAGGGGCTGGGCAAGGGGGAACCCTGGACCTTATTACAGAGGTCAAAGGTGGACCATATAGACATGGCAAAGTCAGCACAGGAGAAAGCTTCCTGGCAACCTGGCTCGCCCCAACAGACATCTAGCGGCTGCCTACCCGCCCCCAACTTGTAGAGACCAGCCCTGGGCCCTCTCCATTATCATCAACATTTTCCCCTTCCTGAAGTCCCAGCTGCACCCCCAAACGTGGTTACCAGTTGCAACCAAGAGTTAGAGCAATGTTGCTTTTAGCACACTCCCTGTTGTCAGCAAACCTACAAAGCTAAAATACCTACAGCTAGGTTACATGCAGTCAAGCCTTTACCACCTTTTTTCTAAATTACCCATTTTTTAAGCTTAAGAACAAAATGTGACCTATTCTTCATTAATATGGAAAAAATTAACCTCTGGGAAAATCTGGTTGCTTCTCTTCCAAGTTACAGAGGAAGTTACATTTAGCCATATCTCGTGTTGGCTGTAAAATGACAGAACCCGCCTGGATGTCGGCTAAGGCCGCCTCCAGCTTTGTGCTGCCGGGGCTGTTAAATGAAGATCTCCCCTGACAGTGCTCCTGGCCTTCAGAACAATCCCGTACGGGCACATACGAAGGAATAACTGCGTCCACAGGTGCAGCAATTTTGAGTTGTTCTTTTTTTAAAATAATCTCTTGCCTAGGAATTTCTGTAAGTTACTCCCAATATTCCATAACAAAACCCAGGGCATCCATTAAGCAGGACCTTGAATTTAGTCAGTGCTTCAGATACTTTAGTCTCGTTTTACTAAAAACAAACATCAGTAAAGTCTTCATAAATTACACAGGCGGAAACCAGGACCTTCAGATTCCTCTTTTGTTGTTATTTACCAGCTCAACAAACTCAAAGTGAGCTGGACATATCAAGGGAAGAACTCTAATGATCATATAAATAGTGCTAACTTTAACATCTAACTTCCCAGCATACATATATTCTAAGTATTTAATGAGCCATCTATGTCTCTGCTTCGAATCTAGAACAGCTTTGTTAGCTAGTTAACAACCCAGCAACACCCTGGTACATCTTTAATAATTTTAAAGCCAGGCAAACCCCAAGTTATGCCTAGATTTTATCACAGGCAAGCTTAACTTTACAAAATTAGTAGTTACCAAATTTCTGCAGAGTAGGTGATCCGGGTGGAGATGAATTTCCACTAGGAGACAAGTAGAGATAGCTTTTGTTCACTCCTGTATCAAAATCAAACGGGGACTGGTAGTCCTCATATAAGTCCATCTCTCCACAATCCATTCCAGACAAACGCAGAACGCATGGCTTTCTAACCACCTGCCCTGACTCCTCAGGTGAGTGCCACTTTGGCCATATTCCCTTTGCAGGGTGCAACCTCACTGAAGAAATCAGCCCCAGGGGTTAGAGGCCCCGGCTTCCGGGCTCAGGTACAGCATTTCCTTAGGAGAGCCCGCCTGACAAACAGACCTATTTAATAAATGACTTATCCTGGGCAACCTTAGGAGGGGCTCTGTTCACCACCTGTTGTTAATTCAGTCAACAATGAACAACCTGGGCAAGGGAGCGGCGCTTTCCTCAGTACACAAAGGAGGGCCAGGTTCTGCAAAGTGGCTCCGATGTACAAACAGTTCAAGCCCACGTCAGATGCTGGCAGAATCACAACAAGAAACCACAATTTATTTTTTTAAAAAACAGTCAGCTGACCACAACTACACCAGGGCAGACTTAATCTTCTAGGACAAGGAAGGATTACCAGTCAGTAATCTCCCGCCACTGCCATCTGGGGGATACTTTTTTTCCACCCTGGATTACGGTAGAATTCTGAAAGCCAAGCTTCCTGGTTTTGCAATCAGCTTTCTAAGCACGACTTGGGATAAAAATAAAGCTATATTTCCATTATTGCAATATCTAAAGTGGAGTCTTACTGAGTGTCACAGAAGTTTCGGACTGATTTTTACGTCTTTTCTCTCTTTTTTGGAAAAGATGGTGGTTCGGTCACATGCACTGAAAGCGAAGAACCAACTTTGAAGGTAACGCTCCCAGGTGTTCCCGCGCCTTCTTTGTTTGACTAAGGCCATGGCTCTGCAAGTGCTGCAATAAACCTGTGTGCTGTACTGCAGAGTGGCTGGGCGCAGTTAGCTTGTAAAACAAAACTTCCAAGTCACCAAATTCATTTCCTTTAGCATAAGTGTCCTAGCAGAATCTTTCTATGATGACTATGGCCTTGGCTCAAGCCACAGCATTTGCATCTCCTGCTGCTTGTAACATTAAGGAGGTAAAAATAAAAGTGACCCACCCTCAGGTGGGCAGTGGTCCGAAACTGCACGACAAAAAAAAGGCAGTATTCTACTTTCAAATCTACCTGCTAAAAAGAAAACTCAGATATACTCTCCTGGAATTGGGAGCAAATACAAAACCTAATATACTTAAAGCATGAAAAAAAAAAATCAATGTGTGTCTAGCGTGTAAAATATACATGAACCAAGATAGTCTATATTCACCTCAAGTTATGATTGGTTTTTACATACAGAATACACAATGGATGATGTTTAAACTTTTTTTGTTAATCTCATGTTGTACTCTATTTATGGCCAGTCTATACCTTAAGTTTTTTAAAAATTTATTTTTTACACCACCAACAACAAAAAAAATGATCTGTATTTTTCTCCTAAAGGTACCAAAATTTAGGCAACTATAAATGTTCATTCCATGTTTAGAAATCAAATAAATGGTTTCTTTTCATTATTTGAAAGAATGAATTGTCTGGTTTCTTGAAATCATAGTCTCTCTGCTGTGACAGGAAAGATATCGGAGTCGTGTCCCTGGGCTACGGTGTGGGACTACAGGCCTTATTTATAAAAGTGAGGATTCAGAATTTAAGTAATTATCTAAAATTTGTACTCTACTTGTTTTAAGTATAATCTTAACACTGTTATGCAACACCCTGGCTCTCTGAACCAGTGCTAGTTCTCAGTGTCTCCGGTGAGATCCCAGTCCAGACATGCTAGCCTGTGAGGAACGTGAGAACAGATGACCGGAGGCAGGAGAGGCTGGAGAGGGCTAATGAATGGCGAAAATTCAGTTGATTCAAGAGTCACATACAAAGTAGAATGGAGTTGAAAGGAAATAAAAAATGGAAATGTTGCTTGGGCCAGACCATTAAAGACCCTGAATGACAAACTTTTCTATATAATAATGTGCAAAAGAACAAAAAAAATCTGAAGGTTTTTGAGCCAGACAGAAACAGTATAAAAAGAAAGTTTTATCTCAAGATGACTCTGGAAATGCTGTACTGAGGATGCTCTGTAGGCAGAGAGAAGCTAAAAGAGAGCGGCAGATTCAGAAACAGGCTACTGAAAAATCCTGCCAGGGAGGGAAGCCTTTGTATTGGACGCAGCCCCTTTTTATTTCCTGCTGTGGGCTAGTTGGCCCAAGGAAGAACCTGGTAAGATTTGGTCCTGTCCTGCTGGACATTTCCACACGGCTGGTCCAAAAGTATTAATATTTCAAAATCAACATGCACGAGACTGAATTCACCAGTTTTCCTCATGATGTTCTTACCTCTAAATTCGCCATCCTCAGTCTCCCAGGCCTCACCTCAAAGGAATAACGTCCAAGCACTCCCGCTCTATCAGGAGGCACCATCGAGCTGTCCACCAACCGCATCGACTGCCTTACACCCTTCCCTCTTCTCTGTTATCCCTGACCACACCCTACTTCAGACCCACCTGGAGAGTTGTAGGAGAGACCCAGCCCGAGGGACAGTGTGACAGACGTCTCCTGTCTTGTCTGTTCAGCACTCCTTCCCTTGAAGGATTCTACTTCACTTGCTCCATGGAGTTCTGGGAGGAGAGACGACCGTAGTTGCCACCTTTCCCGGGCCTTAGCGTGGGCCTGTGCTTCAGGTGCAGCCCACGCAGACACACCATCCCCTGCTCACAAGCACTGGCCTAGTGTAGACATACGACCCAAAGAGTACCAGTCTGTGGCCTTCCCTGGTGTTTACTCTATGACTAATAGAAGAAAGTGACTCTCCCTATAACCTGAGCTGTTGGGTGCTGGTTTGGAAGGGCCAGGGGGCTCCTTCCCTCCCTGTGCCAAGAGACAAGAGAACCAGTGCTGAGACTAGAAGTAGAAACAGGGAAAGGATGGGGCAGTAGCACCAAGCCCCTGTACCCAGCTACCCTGGGCTTCCCAGTTATTAAACAAATATACTTCTGTTCTGCTTCACTTACGGTTGGAGTTGGATTCTAACATTTCAATAGAAAGAGTCCCAAAATACTACTTTCTAACCATATTTCCCACTACTACTCAACCATGTTTCAGCCAAACTTGATTTTCCTGTTTCTTGAACACATCCTAAACTTGGCCTAAACAATTTTCTTGAACTAGAGTCTCCTTTTCCTATATTTTTACCTGTTAAATTCCTACCTACTTATCAAGTCCTACTTAAGAAGTTACAAATGAATGGCATATGTAAATTTTAGATGCTATTTGAAATGGAAAAAATAAGCAACACATGCCTACTAAAAATGGGTTATTTAAATGCTAAAAAGAACATGTAACAGAAAAATATGCAAACATTAACATAATGGTGTAAATATATACTTTTTTAACATGGAACGATATTCTGGATACATTGAGTAAACAAAGCAGGTTGTATTGTATGATGCATATTTGTGTAATAATCGAAGAGAGAGCAACCCATCAAAAGAAAGAAAATGTGCAGAATAAGAAATCCACGTCCCACAACTGCAAAAAAGGGCACAGGCACTGCAGTGTCAGCAGAGGGCGCCCAAGGGCAGCTCAGAGGTCCCCTCGGTGCAGCCAGCCCCGTACATACTACAGGGCCCTACGAGGACTCAGTTACTAAAGTGGAAATGGGAGTAGGTACAAACGATTATAAAAAAAATTAAGTTTCTGTCTACGTATTAACACACTATTCAAATATGTTAAGGTAGATCCTCCCCAAATCTGAAAGACATTTATGAGATAGTGTAATTTAAAAGCTATTTAACACACAAAATTTACTGTGAGGTCCTCTAAAGGGCATCTCAAAGGGAGATGACGTGGCTGCCAGACAGGAGAGGCAGACACAGGTATTCAGGTAATGTGGATGTGTCAGGATGGCACAGCTGCCAGCTTAAAGGGGCTCCGACTAGCCAAATAGGGGCCAATCAGACTACTGGCATGATTAAGGACAGTAATGGATTATAAACCACTGGAAAAACAGGAATCCAAAAGTCCATGCAAACAATAAATAGACAAATAAAGAGGGAGAAAGAAGACTCTTAATTATGAATGCCATCCTGACCATCCTTATAAAGATCTTTTCAGGCAAGAATAATCAATGGTTGGGAAATCCAGGGAGAAATTTTGATGAACAGCACGATATTTACCTGGTCTTACAGTGCCTCCCCACAGATTCACTAGTTGACAGAAGGGAAAACACAGTAACAGTACGATGGAGAAAGGGACACCACCTTGACTGGGTGATCAAAACAGCCATCACCCAATGAGAGGCAGAAGGATGTATGTCTGCAAATGTGGTCCTCTGAACACCTATGTAGTGTTTGAGCCAGGAATGCAGAACCTGAATCTAATCCTAAGGAAGCATCACACAAATCCAAAATGAGGAAAGTTCTTTTTTTTTCTAATTTTTTACTATGCTCCTTTCTTTTTTTTGTTTTTTGCTTCCTTCTTTTTTTAGGCTTGCATCCCAGTCTAATATACTCCTTTCTTGAGAAAAGAAAGATTCTGTTTTTAAAAGAGGAAAGGAGATGAATTCATCAAAAATATTGATGCCATAAAAGACAAAGAAAGGCTGTGAAAATGATCCATGTTAAAGAACACTAAAAAGATACAACAATTTAAGATCATACCCGATCCTACATTGGGTCTTTACTAAAGGGGAAAAAAAATTCTAAAAAGGGCATTGTTGAGTGTGTTGAAAAAATTGGAATCTGACCATAAATTTAAGTTTTATATTAATTTAAAATTTACTGAAGTTGACAACTATGCTGTAGTTATATAAGAGAATATCCCTCTTCTTAGGAAATACAAACTGAAATTTTTAGGGGCAAGGGCCATGATGTATGCAACTTACTCTCGAATAGTTCAGAAAATACACATACACACAGAATGATAGAACAGATGGGGTAAAATGTTAACAGTGAGTGAATCTGAGTAGAGAATGCAGGTGTTCTTTACACTACTCTTATTCTTGCAATCGTTCTGTAAATTTGAAAAAGGCTTTCAAAAGATGATGCAGAAGAACTCCTCTGCAGCCTTAAAGGTGCTAGGGCAGCAGGGAGCAAGACATTGCTCACAGCAGGAACCTAACAGGACTGAGATGGGTCACGGCTTAGACACACAGGCACATCTCCATTCCCAGCTGCTTCTGAGAGCCGAGAGGATGCTCTCCACCCTCCACTGCCGCAGCAGCGATCCACCCTCCACAGCAAAGTCTCACCATCACCTCCTGTGCGTGGTCCCATCTTCCCAGAGGAAGACCCGGGAGGACTCTGTTCACAGTCAGGTGAGAGGGTGGGAAGGCGGCGAGGGGAGTGAACACCACCTTCCTTTCCCCCTGGACTGTGCCACAGTAAACAAACCTCAACTCAAAAAAAGGGACT